TGGAAGAGAATAGAGACCCAGATATGAAGCCACACAACTATAACCAACTTGTCTCTGAACAAAGGAGCTAAAATATACGATGGAGAAATAGCAGCACTCTTCAACAAAAAGTGCTGGGAAAACTGGTTAGCAGTCTGCAAAAAACTGAAACTAGATCCATGTATATCACCCTATACCAAGATTTAACTCAAAATGGATCAAGATCTTAATATCAGACCACAAACTCTAAAGTTGACAGGAAAGAGTAGGAATACTCTGGAGTTAGTAGGTATAGGTAAAACTTTCTCAAGAAACCCCAGCAGCACAGCAACTAAGAGATAGCATAGATAATGGGACCTCATAAAGCTAAAAAGCTTCTGTTTCATCAAAAAGAAATGGTCTCTAAACTGAAGAGAACACCCACAGAGTGGGAGAAAATATTTGCCAGCTATACATCAGACAAAGGACTGATAACCAGAAATATAGGGAACTTAAAAAAACTAAATTCTCCAAAACTAATGAACCAATAAAGAAATGGGCAAGTGAACTAAACAGAACTTTCTCAAAGAAGAAATTCAAATGGCCAAAAAACACATGAAAAAATGCTCACCATCCTAGCAATAAAGGAAATGCAAATTAAAACACGCTAAGATTCCACCTCACCCCTGTTAGAATAGCCATCATTCAGCAACACCACCAACAACAGGTGTTGGCGAGGATGGGGGGAAAAAGGAACCCTTACACTGTTGGTGGGAATGTAAACTAGTACAACCACTCTGGAAAAAAATTTGGAGGCTACTTAAAAAGCTAGACATTGATCTACCATTTGATCCAGCAATACCACTCTGGGGATATACCCAAAAGACTGTGACACAGGTTACTCCAGAGGCACCTGCACACCCATGTTTATTGCGGCACTATTCACAATAGCCAAGTTATGGAAACAGCCAAGATGCCCCACCACTGACGAATGGATTAAGAAAATGTTGTATCTATACACAATGGAATTTTATGCAGCCATGAAGAAGAACGAAATGTTATCATTCGCTGGTAAATGGATGGAATTGGAGAACATCATTCTGAGTGAGGTTAGCCTGGCCCAAAAGACCAAAAATCGTATGTTCTCCCTCATATGTGGACATTAGATCAAGGGCAAACACAACAATGGGATTGGACTTTGAGCACATGATAAAAGCTTTAGCACACAAGGGAGGGGTGAGGATAGGTAAGACACCTAAAAAATTAGCTAGCATTTATTGCCCTTAACGCAGAGAAACTAAAGCAGATACCTTGAAAGCAACTGAGGCCAATGGGAAAAGGGGACCAGGAACTAGAGAAAAGGTTAGATCAAAAAGAATTAACCTAGAAGGTAACACCCACGCACAGGAAATCAATGTGAGTCAATGCCCTGTAGCTATCCTTATCTCAACCAGCAAAAACCCTTGTTTCCTTCCTATTATTGCTTATACTCTCTCTACAACAAATTAGATAAGGCAAAATAGTTTCTGCTGGGTATTGAGGGGGTGGGGGGGAGAGGGAGGGGGAGGAGTGGGTGGTAAGGGAGGGGGTGGGGGCAGGGGGGAGAAATGACCCAAGCCTTATATGCACATATGAATAATAAAGGAAAAAAAAAAAAATACTTCTGTATCCCTGGGAGTCCAGAGAGTTTAAAAGGGACATAGTCACCCTGCAGATGAGGAGCTTTGTGGCTCTGCACAGAAATAAGTCATCAACATACTGAAAAATGGTGGCCTCTGGGTAGTGCCAACCTAATAGGTCTCTGGTTAGGGCTTGTCCAAAAAGATGAGGGCTGTAACTTTTATAAGAATTTTCAATTTAAATTTAAATAAAACTTTTTCCAATTAGCCTTATTGTATTATACAAACCCGTATGAAAGGCAATTTTGAACTGTTTTTATACAATAAGTAACCTATAAAGACACCATTTGTTAATAGATATAATAATAAATATAATATTTATTATGTATTATATATATTTATAATATAAATATAATAGATATAATAATGGAATTGAACGTAAATTACTTATGATGAAATGAAACAGACTAAGGTTATTGTCCATAAAATAATGCCTATAATTTAGTTAGACCTGATTGAAATAACCTTTAAAAAACTGGTTTTTCTTAAAAGTAGCAGCAGAAGAGGTGGGGGAGAGAAGAGAACAGAACCCTTTTATTTCTTTACATAAATTTTATAATAAGAATCATCCTAAAGATGTTTAAATATATGTGTATGTAAAAGTGTTTTAAATTAGGCATGCCATAATGTCAATTTAAGCATGCATAGATTAAGAGCTCAGGAACATGTAAAAATTAACTAAGTTGCCACAAGTACATTGATAAGTTTTTTTTTTTAAACTTTTAGGAGTAGATTGAGAGGTGTCACATTCTGTTTTTTAGGACTCATTTTGGGTAGATTGATAGCTGAAGTAAGAGTCAATTTTAGGAATAGTGTTTTGAGTCAGTCCCAGTTTTTAATAAGACTGTTATCATAGCTATTAGATTTTTTTGTCTCTAACAAATTAATCATATCATAGACATACACAAAACAATTATATTATTTTCGAGTGCACTCTTGGACATAAGACAAAAAACATTTAAGCTGACTTTTAGACACTTTACATCCTTGACCATGCAACATTGAACACAAAATTTCTGTAAAGAGAGCCTGCTCCTTACTGTTGGCCCATTTCTCTCTGGATGTTGCTGCATATCCTTGAACTGAAACTAAAATTATGTTTGCACCTCCAGAACCTTCCTTACCCTAAGCCTCTGCTCAGGTCCCTATTTGGGGGCGCCACCTGCCGGGATCACAGAGGTCCTTGACCCGAAAGGGCTCAGGGCAGGAATGAACAAGACAGGACACATGAAAGGACTCACTCACTTAGGAAGTGAATCACAAAACACATATTGAGAGGGCCAGAAGACTGATGACCAACTGGCAAAGTTTTATTTTTCTCAGCAAGCTTTATACAAAAGAGGAAGAGACTTAAACATCAAAAACACTCTGACCTAGTTGCAACCTTTCTGTGTTTTCCACCCTGCATTCTTACTGCCAGTGTCCTTTACTAAGTATAAACTTCATTTTAGTCAAGGGAAACCATTTAGCATTCCTTCCCACCGTGATAGAGACATGGTGCACCTGCAGATTCTGACCTTGTCGGAATGCTGCTAAGTCACAGTGACCTTGTCAGACTGTGGCTTTTGGTTCCCAACAGCTAAGCACCATGTATCTGGGAGGACTGTTATTGCTGGTCCGGGAATATGTGGGCACTCGGGGACCCCTTGAGGGATTTCTTCTTTGTGGCACATAATGATCATATTGCCTAGCTGAAAGTTCACTTGAAGCTCACTTTATGAACTGAGCTGTTCCACAACCAGATGCTGCTCGTTGCCTCCCCAGCATCTCTGCCACGGACCTAAACTTGCACATTTACCTTTTTATTTTTTCAGTTGTACTGGGGTTCAGACTAAGGACCTCAAACTTGCTAGGCAAGTACTGTACCGATTTTGTTTTTAGTTTGTTATTCAGATAGGGTCTCTTGCTTCTGCCTCACCTCGTACCACAACCCTTGTATTTCTGCTTCCTGAGTAGCTGGGATTATAGGCATGTACCCCCACACCTCGCCTGCACATTTACCTTTTTAAAATTCTGTTTAATTTTTTTTCAGATTACCCATTGCCTCTGAGTGCTAGATACTACATACCTTCTCTTAAAAATGAAAGTTAACAAAAACAAATTTGCTTTGATAATTTGATATTATACTGGGAACAATCCTTGTTCAGAAATTGCAGTTTCAGATGTCTAGTTAGGAATCATTGAAGTTGAAAGCAGCTTAAATGTTAGCAGATAAACACTGTCTATCTGGATGCTGTTCAGTGTCAAAATGCAAACCCGAGGCAAAGCAATGACCCAAATAAATACATAATTGGTGGACTTGGGATTACTTCAAAAATATTTCAATGTTCTAAGTAAAGCATTCTAGAAAGTAATAGATAGCAGCTAGATATAAGCAGTGGCCACAAGAGGAAGAAAAGAAAAAAAAATCATTTCAACTCAACTTCTTAATCTCTATTAAGATCACGTAGCCAGAGCCCAGGGGTTACACAGGATGCTTTGAAGGTACCCACTACCCGAAAGCTTAATCCCTCTTTACCCAAGCGTGATCTGCATCTTAAACATCAGCGAGGTTTTGTTCCATTTAAATTTAACAAAACAAAGACCTAGACCTAAGAGCTAGATTGAGCAAAGGTTAGGAATTTCAAACAAACATTCTCTGTCAATTAGAGCAGGAACTGGTCGATTACACAATGTCTCTTATTTAACAAGACAGTGATCCAAACCCAGGAAATCATCCCAGGGGCTAAAAGGACCCAAAACTAAGAGATTCTCAACATATATTCCAACCTTAAAACCTGACCCTTCTCTCCTTTGAGGCAACCCGCTTTCAGTCTGTTGAAGGTGTATTCCTTTCCTAATGAACTTCACTGTCACTTTTACTAAACCTTTATGTCTTACTTGAATTCTTCTGCCGGACACAAGAACCGAGGTAATTATCAGTGCTATTTTTCCAGTAACAGAAAGTGCTGCAGATCTTGTTTTTTCTATTCCTTTGGGTGCCCTTTGTCTTTGGGGAAATCTGCACATTCAGGTGGGGAGTGGAGGACAGGAGGAAGGAAACCTGGATTCTCTTGCCAGTTCTGCTGCTCACCAGTTGTGATCTGGGGAATGGCCTTTAACCTGTCTTGGCCTCTGTTTCCCCCTGTGCTGTCTTCTAGCTTTAATATTCTATATTTGAACACTCAGTTCATGATGGGAATTTCTAAAATGTTATTGGCACTTTGATTTTTTTTAAATAGCGATCGAGAAATTGTTGGGATGAGTTTTGGGGAGGGGTCAGCATTGTCTGTCCTAGGTCACATGCCAGGAATGAATGGCTCTTAGCCTAGCCTTCCGCCTCAGTGCTAAGCTGACTGGATTCTTTTCCCTTGTCTTTTTCAGAACTCGTGATCCCAGACTCAGCAAATGTCTTTTATGCCATGAACAGCCAAGTGAACTTTGACTTCATTTTACGCAAAAAGAACTCAATGGAAGAGCAAGTGAAACTGCGTAGCCGGACCAGCTTGACATTACCCAGGACAGCTAAGCGGGGCTGCTGGAGTAACAGACACAGCAAGATCACTCTCTGAAGGTGAACCAATGGCCTCTCGCTTGCCAAAGGCAGAGTGGAGCGGAGAGCAGGCCGCGGTGATTGCATCTACCATCCAGTGTTAGAGGATCACTGATGAAGCCAACAGATATTTATTGAGTACTTAGACTAGGCAAAGCACTGTGTGGGGAAATTGGAAATGAATTTGACATGAAAAGGGTGAACGATTCCCTGATTCTCTTTGACCTATCTGAGACTGACTTACAAAATTATCCACATGTATAAATACATATGCACACATATTTAGAATGTATGTGTGTATATAGAGGTATATATAAGAGGGACTTTATGGGATATTCTGGACCATGGAAAAACAAATTTGCACAATGGCCTGGGAAGTTGAGGTCACTTTTTTTTTTACAGGGAAATAGAAGGACTCAAGAACCAAGTCTCATAACTTCCACGTGAATTAAATCAGTCCTAGGAATACAGGATGTCTTTGTGCCAGTATTACAAGAAATCCAAGTTTATTTTTGTAAAGGGAGAAGATTACTTTCTCAATCAAGTGCCACCAAATAAGACAACTGCAGAGATTGGAACAGCCACCGACTGAATGAAAGGCCACTTTGGAAAGGGTTTGGATGAGTCAGTGGCTTCCAACCTCTGTCTGCACCTGCCGCTTTCTGTTCCCCAGGGAGGGCCAAGAGGAGCTTCCAAGGCCCCTCTGCCCCAATGGCTGCCATCATGACACCTCTGGAATCAACACAAGCCTGTATCGATTTCTGGCAACCCCACTATATTCCTGTTTTCTCTCCAAAAGAACATATCATAATCATTATTGCACAAATAGCCATGTTCTTCAGTAACTTACCAGCCAGAAAAGAATGCACAAGAGAATGGTTACCCATTTGGACTCTTTATCTGTTTTGGAATTGCCCTTTCTGATGCCCTTTCTGATACCCTTCTGCATGTAAAACTGTATGTCTGGAGTCTTTTGCCATCTGGATCCTAGTACCTCTATCTTATGTGCAATTTGTTCCTCAGGTGTAGAAATTTCTACTGCAATCGACTACATTTGATCATTTTGAGCCTGTGAGAGATTTCTGAACAGTGACCTGTTAATAGCCCCTTGGAAGATGCTCCCTGCTGATAGCAGCATCAATTTTACTTGTTAACTTTTATAGCATTCCTGTGCCTAGTCATGGGGAAAGAAAAAGGGCTGCGTGTATTAGCTCAGTCCCTTCTCAGAGAAGGTCATCCTTCCAGATGGAATCAATAACATTCTTTCTTCGGGTCCCCACATTTGCAATTCTATTGTCACTGCTAAGTGACATTTTTGTCTCTAGTAACACCATTACACTCTCCCTTACAAATCTGAGCTATGCTGGGATTTGAACTGAAAAGCCATATGTTGGAAGTTGAAATGGGTAAGAAGCACTTTGATTGTTGTCCTTTTTTTAAGAAACAAATTCCAGTTTTTATTCCAAAAATAAAGAGAAGAATCTAGACTATGAAGTACAGATTGTAACATGGAGCTTTTTTTTTCTAATCTTGTAATACAGCTCCCAAACATTGTGTTGGGATTTATGTTATGTTAATAGCCATATGAATTCAGCCAGCGAAAAAAACCATGAAAAGTTTAGAGATTTGTGGTGATGGACCAAAGAATGAGCCAGGAAGTCAACAAATTTCCTTGATCTCTGTAGGAGCCTGGACTGTGCATTGTCATGACTGACTAGGTTTCAACTAGTCGAAAAGCACTTTCTTCTGTCTGTGAGCCTCGTTTGATTTGTGCTTTTGTACATGTCAGAGAGATGGCCAGGGTTGCACCCCTCATGGAGATTGAAGTAAATGTAGCCCCAGCCTGACTTTCTTGGTGAGAAATTAAAAAAAAAAAAAAAAAGTAGACCTATTCTCCTGGTTTAGGGTATGGCTACCAAGACATACATGGTGTACCTACCTGCTCACCCTGTGTATTTATACTGTACATGTAGAGCCTAGATTTATATACTGCAATGTAAAAAAAATATATATATATATTTACCTTTTTTTAAAGACAATGGAAATTCCAAGTAGAAAAAACATGGCCTCATTTATTTAATGCCACTTTAATTGTCTCAAATTTGCTTTCTGGTGGACAGCTGAGCAGTGCTTTCAGCTGCTCGCATGCTTGTCTTTCTGCATCTCCATCACCTGTTCACCTTTCAGTTAAACTAATAAACTGGCTTGGGACTTGGTTGGCATGTGCTGCCAGATCCAAAGGGATTGTATGTGGAGTGTTAATAAGCTGGGTTGTGGGTTCCAGATTTGTGAATCAGTATCCCAAAGCCCACTCTGGACCAGTTGGAGGGTGCAGAGTTGGAGAGGACCCACTGCCAAGTGCATTTAGAGGGAAGAGTGGTGCCTCGGAAACTTCAGATAATGCCTTGCTCAATTGCTATTCTTAGGAGCCAGGCAGTGAGGACACCTTTTATAAAATTCACCTTAGAGTAAGGATCCCAAGTAGTACTTGCCTTTCGCCTGAAACCTTCCACAGTGCTACAGAAGCCAGGAGGACTTCTGTGGAGGGAGCAAAGGTCTTCCCAGAAGGTATTCAGTCTGAGTCTGGCTTCATTTAACAGACACACAAAATCATCATTTATCATATTATTGCCCCAAATTTCCCAGAATTATTTTCCAATGGATTCCTAAGTAGACCCAAATTATCATATTTTGAGAGCCCTCATGTAATTTTCAAGAGAGCCAAGTAGATGTTATAATAGAAAATTGACAATGTAAGTGTAGGAAAGGGATTTCTATCTCTGGCAGTAAGTGAGTATTTTTTCAAGACCATTCTAGAAAACTAATTCCTTTTTTTTTTTTTTTTAATCAAGAAATGGACTTAGGGCTGGAGATGTGGCTCAAGTGGTAGAGCATCTATTTCACAAGTCCTGAGTTCAAACCCCATTCCCACCCAAAAAAAAAAAAATGAGGTTGGTGACTTTTTAATCTAAAGAAATAATGTCTTTAGATTTCCTTCTTGATCCATGTGAGTTCACGCCTTCTTTTCATAACATACAATACCATCAGGAGTCGTCTGTGTTGTTCATGTGCCCTGACTTCTGTGGCACTGAGAAGCTCCCTGATGCTAAGTCTCTTTTTCTATATTTGCCTACAATTCCACTATCAGAAGTTACTTACATCGTGTTTTGCATTTTTTTTTTTTAGGGTAGAACCTAGCATTTATTTAGATCTTCATTAAACTGTTGGAATTGAGAACCAGACATAGATCCTGAAAGGCACTTTCTGCTTAGGGCAAGCAGTCATGGAGTAAGCATGTAAACAAGCTGGCTTCTCTGTACCACACCAGCCAAGTCAGCTTTCTCCATGGCCAGCTGCACCAGCTCTGCCCTCCCTTCTGATTAAACACCAGCCAGACCCCCTGTAGGTCTAACCCAAGGTTTTTCTGTAGGACACCTTGGCCTATCTGGGAATGCTGGAAACATGTTAAAGGAATCATGGTGTTGAGGAAAGAAAATCTTTTAAAAGCTGCCATCTGAGGTGATGGCTTCTCTGTACTTACGCCATACCTCAGAATACAATAAATAAGCAATTAGAAAATGTTCAAGTATGAAGGGATTTCCTCCTCCCCGCCAAAAGCACTGCTCTCTGAAGGAAGCTGGTTTCTCTGTAGCTACACCAGCTGTTCAGAAAGCTCATTGGACCTGGTTTTGAAAATAAACATGTTTTGCATTTTAACTCTTAAGATAAAACCCTCTGAAAGGGAAGTTCATAGGGTAGGCTAGACAGACTGAAGTAACTAACCAAGAAATCTCAGTAACTTAAACCAGAATTGTCGTTTCTATTTGTGTAATGGAAGCCAGGTAGTCTCTTTAGTGGCTTTAACAGTGACTCAAGGATACAACCAGCTTCTATCATGCAAATCTACCATCTTGTTTTTTGTTTTTGTTTTTTTCCTTCAAGTCATAGTGATGGCAAAAAGGGTATGCACTCATAACTGTTCTGACTGCCTTAGATCAAAGTGACACATGCCACCTCATTCACCATCCCTTGGCCAGCCTATTGCTCCATCTAAGTTCAGAGGAGTGGACTATGTAGAAGACTTTGAGCTGGTGAGCATCGTTGTCTCTGTCACACAGGGATAATGTCTTCTTCCTAGGGTGCACGGAGTTGTGGGGCCTTCCAGTCATCAGAAGCAGCGTTTGGAAGAGATGGTAGCAAGGACTTGAGTTGGAGCCACACAGAGCAAAGGAATCATTGCAGAAAGACACTCAAAGAAGGGAAAACAGCTGTCTAGAAGTCAATAAAAATTCAGTAAGAACCAGCCAGTATTTGGGTGTGGTTTCTCAACGTCTCTACCCTCGGAATCTGTACGGAAGCAGTTTGAGGAATCCAATGTATGTAATTTCCTTTTAAGGGTTTGAAGGTGCCTTACAAATCAGTGCCTTCCTATTACATATGTAGAGCTGATGCCCAGAGAGGTGAAGGTCAGGGGCAGAGATCTGCATCATCACAGTCCACCCTGTGCTCATCCACTCTGACTGGGCACTGAGAGAAGGAAGCTTTTCTGACCCTCGCTCTCCCCACCCCCTACAGTCTGTGGAGCTAGAGAGAATCCTGTGGTCTCTTGGCTCTATCCCAGCCTTCCATTCACGTGAACTCACACAAGCTGGGCATTTGGCTGTTTCTAACATCTCCAGGGAAATTCTTCTGCTGGCCAGAGCACTCTACCTGTTAACATGAGAACTGTTTCCATCTCACAGATGAGAAAATAGGGCCATGAAGAATAGGGTTGTTGTGAATTGAGTCTGCAGCTGGAATTTGAATCCATTTCTGACCCATGAACTCAGCCATCTCCCAGGGGCAGGGCAGACAGAGAGCTCTTCACAAAAGCTCTGAACGAGGAGTTTGCAGAGGAGAAGGGGATGTCTGTGTCTGGGGCTGGGGTGATATCAGGAGAGTCAGTCCTAGGACCTCGCAGGAGCCCAACCTCTGTGCCAATGATCAGTGCCCACAGGCTTCATCACAGCTTCTCAGAAGCAATCCTTTTATTTCCATCATCATTTATTGCCCAAACAACACATACTACAGGCCCAGTTTCTTACATGAGCATTAAAGAGGGCGCTGGTACCTCACATTAAACAAGGAAAAAGAACAGTGAATGATCTGAAGTTTCTGAATTGCTCCTGCCGTAAAAAAGGCATCAGTTTTGAAATGGGAGAAGTCGTCTAAATGAGACTGTTAGCTTTCCCCCAGACATCTATTTCTGGTCTTGTATATATAATATCTAACAGCAAAGCCCTGCAGAATGTTAGCTGAGTATTTGCAGTAAGATCAGCCAAATACACATGAGATGTCACAGGTGGTTAGTACACAGGGGTTGGAAGTACAAGCTCCTGTGTATATCAAGAGAGAGGAGAGAGAGAGAGAGAGAGAGGAGAGAGATCTCCAGAAGCTCTGAGGTAGTCCACTTACCACCTTAGGCAACTTAGCTATTGCCTTCTGTAAACAGCAGGGGTTAATGGCAATTCTCACCTCTTGAGGTTCAAGTAGTATTAAATGACAGCTCACACAAAGTACTTTTCACTTGGATGGCTAACATTCTGAGTTTAGCTGCTATTGTTCCTTCTGGCCTGCCTGGGTGAGCAGCCAAATGTCCAGATGTGAGATGTGAAAATCTTAGAGGTGGGGCTTCCATGTGTGCAACAGCACCCTGGGAAAATCTAAGCCTGCTGCTGCCATGGGGAAAGACTGACTAATGGAGTTGGAGTGCGTTCAGGGCTCCTGCAGCATGTTCCATGCTTTGGTCCAAAGATGCTCAGAGACAGGCAATTGTGGGCCTGTGCAGCCTCCCAGACTGGCCTGCAAGCTGTTCAGGGAGAACTGACTGTGCAGTGAGGAGAGGCTAGCTGAGCATCACTCTCGGGGCCCAGTGGGATTGTGGCAGCTCGCAACGGTAACTTCTCACCAATTCCAGAATGCCCTCTGCAGTTGGAAAGGGATGATCTCGCTCTCAACAAAAGCTGTGCTCCTGTGTCTCCCTCCTCTGTGTCAGTTCAGTCCCACATCTTTCCTGCAGGAAGGGCCCTGGGCTCCAAAGGCCCTGTCCAGAGATGACTATAATGCCTGGCTGTGACTTTTTGCTATCTCTCATGCCCTGGTGGCACTGGATGTCCCCTATTCCTTCGCAGGTTGTCCAGCTCAACTCCACCTCAGTCTCTCCCACTGTTGCAAGTATTAAAGGACAAAGTAGTCAGTGTAAGGACAAGGCTGTCACCACTTCCATCTCAAGCCTTCCTTTTCCTTTTTTGACCTGTGTACCGACATCACTGTCTCCAGCAATGGCCTGAATTTCTCTCTTCTCCCCTTCACCATGCACTTCTCTCCCAGACTCTCTGTGGGCTGCTCTGAAAGCTGCCTCTTTCCTTTCCCCTCATCTTCACAAGGGTCCTGGCCACCCAGTCTCCTGCATACAGCTATGTGCAATTTCCTCTCCTGTGCCAGCCTAAAAATAACATTGAGGACAAGAAAGTCTTCACAATTCATGCTGCATGTTAAAAAAAAAAAAAGCAGTTAAAGCCCTTCAAATCACACTTTTAATACTTGCAGAACTCAACTCCTATCTGGAGACCTACTTCACATTTTTAGCTCCCTTTTGGAGGAGGACACTTTGTTACTGATGACTTTCTAAACTTCTCTGCAGAATAGTAAGGGACAGTTTGTACACCCCACTTGAAAATCATGTTCCTCCAAGAGTAAAATATGGCATCTCCTAAACTAGAAAAGGCTCAGAGGAGCCTTCTTGGGTCCACAGCGCCTTGAGGTAGGTGTTCTGCAGGCCCTAAAATTTTAAAACGGCCATTCCAGAAAAAGCCAACCTGAAGAACCTCCAGAAAGGGACATAAAAATAAACTCAGTAAATTAAAAATGCAGAGAACCAGTCCTCAGAGACAAGTCTTCATTCTTTCCACCCCTTTTCAGGGTAGGTGGGAGGATGGCTTTGGGCTGAGAGTAGTACAGCTGTCTTTCAGGATCAACCTAAGCGAAGATCATCTCAATTATTAACACATCTATGTGAAGAAGAAGAAGAAAAAAATTAAGCCATTTTAGGTGAATGCAGAGAATAGAAAGGAAGCCCGCTTCTTGCCTAACAACAAATTTTAATGGCTCCATCCACTACTTGCTTTGGCATCCTGTTCAATGTCTAACACTGCTGTCAATAAATTCTTCCTGAATGTTCATCTAAATGTCTCTTGTTCTGTG